TGGCGGTTCCTTGGAGATGGGTCGAACCGCCCCAAGACCTTCCGGGAAAACCCACCAAAACACATTCCTTGAGGTGTCTGGCCTGGCCATCGGCCTGGCAAATCAAGGCCATCGGCCTGCAACGATCCAAAACACCGGGTTTTGGCTCATCTGATCTATGACAGGCGCGTGCCAGCTGCATGTGCCAAGCTTGCAACTTCAAGTCAGTCTTGACCAAAAAACATCCAGATCTTAAAACATACGTACTGATTCATCCAAGAACCACCCAGTTCAGGCGGTTATTGGATGGACATTGCATGGCCAGTAGGGATCCCAAAAAAGAAGAAACCGCGCCCGAGCTGGGTGGCGCTGCGCCAAGCGGTTGATCATACTGCACCGTCCCTCCTCCCACGGTTCGATCCATCCCAGTCTGGTCTTCTCGCCCAGTGGCCAGCAAGTGCACGGGGCCTAAGGGCTCTCCCAAAACCACTCGACCCAAAAGGGCGGCCACGACCTGCGGTGCGCTTCGCCGACCGCGACGAAACGCTGGGTCCAGACACGAGTTTCCGGTCCGAAGCGCCGGACCGAAACGGCCCGAAGTGTGGTGGTCCCGTGAAGTGTGTGGGGGGCAACATGGCAGTGAAGGGGGTACACTGCCGCCCTTGGGAATTGGTAGAGGAATTGCAAGGAGAGCACCGTCATAGGAGTTCGTAGTGGTGCGGTTCAGATTTGAGCGGCACTTGAAAGTGCTTAATACCAGGACCCTCCAAGGGGTGCCCTGTCTGGAAGCCTATAGGTAGTGTGGGGTAGTTCATTGGACACCCCGACAGGAGGGTCCTGGTATATAGTTGTTTTCCAACATCTTCCAAGATAATCCAAAATACCATGCTCCACGTCCATGCGATGTGACCGTCAGTGCCTGACTGTCATCCCCTGGCAGCACCTGGGTCTTCCTGGGCCCCTGCCATTGGTCCACCTCTTCTAAAAGCTCCAAAAGAATCACTCTCCAGGATCACCACATGGGTCGCTTTCCCCAAACGAACCGGATTCCCCCAGCGACATCCGTCCGGTGCACCGTGTTCACGCTGCCAAGCGCTCCCACGCTGCCCACGTGCGCTCCAGCCAGCACGGCGCACACGGCCAGCACGTTGCTGGCGCAGCCGAAGAGACCACGGAGAATCACCTGGGCTCAGCCGCCGCGAAGCTCAGCTTGCTGTAGAAGTACACTCTGACTCCATCCTACTGCATCCTTTAAGTCACTCAAATGGAAGTGGACACTACGGTACCATGTTATTGTAGAGGAACATCGTTGTTGCACGGGGCCATTTGCCACTTTCCATGTTAAGCAACGTTCGGAGTGTGTCTGATTTTCATTCAAGGAGTTCCCAAATCTGGTCATACCTCCATCTACAATTAGCCCCGGGGTCTGACCCCAAAAAGCGAGGTCTGTGGTTCTCGAAGTTTATACACACGTAAGCCTTGCAGCGCTTCTTGTCCACATCCAACGATGATCCAGCCGTGCGAGGTTCTTCACTGCATGACATGAATACACCAGTACAATGGGTCGCATCTGGTCAAGTTTCTCTGAAGGCATCCCACGCCCAGCGATCGCCAGTGGTAGAAACTGAAGAACCAGGACCATCCAAGGTGATAATTGGAGTTCAGAACTGCAGCTCCCAGGGTCGATGCAGTGATCACACAGGCGTCGGGGTGTTGGAGCACCCTTGCTTCTTGCTGAAATATGAAGAAGCTGGCGGATGCCAACGGAAGACCCTCAACCCCCCACGGAGGGACCACAGGGACCACAGAAGGTGACCTGAGTCCTGAGTCCTTGATACTCCCGGAGTCGTTTTCCCCGGAAAGTGATGTGAACCAAACATTCCACCCTGGCCTATCGACCTGTCTGAGCCAGCTAGGCGCCCATTTGATCTCGCGATACTCCAAGTGATAGCTCCCCTGCCAGAGCATCGACATCGCCAGGCTAAAGGCGATACAAAAGGCACTCAATCCTGAGCTGCTGGAGATTCAGCGCAGGAAACACGGGTGCTGCTGCACAGGGGTTTTTACATTGGCCAGGAAGATGGGATTTAGTGCATGAACAGGCGGAATGGCAAGGTGATTAAACATCCCTAGGACTCCAAGTACCTCCTCAGAAGGTATTTGGAGCCCTAGGGAATTGAAGTGTCTGATCTTGTTTTCCATGCGAGGATTGCGACATACCCAAGCCCAAGCATGGATCGGACACCCCCCCATGTTTCCTCGAGTGCCGGACACCCCCTACGCACACGGAAGTGGACCACCGCCTATGAATGATGGGAATCATCTCTTTCAATAATTATGGTACATACCAGCACCACCCAGTTCGGGTGGTTTATAGACCCCCCCTGAAGATGCATTTTCTATCCAATAACAATCCATTGCGTGGTGCTGCTAATCTAGTTATATATATATATATACTCCTCTATTAACATTGTATAATGAAATGCAATTGTGATTGTATTGATATTAATTCGCGTTCCCCCTAATTAATGAAGGTATCTATCCTGCTTCCCTGTTCGTGTGGAGAACGAGAGCGGTGGAGCCCAAAAAGGCCGCTCGTGCTCTGCTGGAAGCCAGCTGCCTGCTTCCAGTGCCCCTAAACTCATTGTATATTAATATCCCCCCCAACTACCCCAACCTGGCAAAGAGCAGCGCTATGATCTGATTGTTTCGGAGTGTGTGTGTGTGAAACGGCAAGGACTGTGATAAAACCTATCGACGAGGAGCCAGCAAGGAAGAAGTAAGGCCACTGCCAGCCTGCCAAGCTGGGTACTCGTGGGAACAATGAACGTCCCTGTTTGAATGACTACTATTATGTTCAATTGATCGATGGTTACAGGCCTTAGTCACTTAGTCAAAACCTAAATCAGTAACTAATGCTTGCCTAAATTATGCGCACCTATACAGTTACAGCAAACCGAAACCTCAGTCACCAAAACCACAACCATAATAGAAAAAAGAAACACACGGAAACACAACCAACGCAGCAAAAAGCAACGCAAACAACCACACTCACACACAAACTCTGCGAGTTTGGGGCCGACTGGGGCCTGGGCACCAGGAGCCAATGATTTGAGGCCAATGACCATTCCATTCATTGTATTTTTTAGGGATCCAAGTACCTTCTCAGGTGATTGGAGACACTCTTATGTAGGTTTTGAGGGTCCAGTCGTACCGTACCTGAGGTTCGGTACGGCTGGAACCCTAGGGCAGTGTAAAACCCAACAGGTCGTGCACCCCGGGGGTCACCGGTACCAACGTCCCGGCCTCGAGAACTGGTCCCAACTCCCGGCGGTCGAAGAACGATCGCAAACCGAACGACCGCGGGCCTTGCATGAACTTACTCAACCTCAGGAAGCGGATTCGATTCTCCACCTTCTAAGGACATACCCAATTACGCGACTCATGGGACTGCCATAGGACTGCCGAGAAACGGCCAGGGGTGGTGGTTTGGGGGGTCAATGTAGCCATGTATGGCAGTCCCATGGAGCGTTTGGGTACTGAAATACTAGCAATTACCGATTCATGATGCAACATGCCAAGGACACGGAGGTCGACGATCAATTACGTCATGCATGACGCTTGATTCATGATGCCAAATGCTAAGGTATACCAAATAACTGTGTTGAAAGAGTTGTCAAGAACGGTGGAACGTCTACAAACACTTTGGCTGGCAAACTTCTACAGCTTGGACTCATATACTCTGATGCTGTGCTTTACTCGCTTTGTGCCAGTCAAACCACCAAATCTGCGAGGCTTTTGTGACATGCCAACTACTGATTCGCAGGTGCACTGCTGACCCTGGTGTGCTGATGCGTCCCGTTCCATTCGCTCTCGCCCAGGGACACCAGGTTCACGTTGCTGAAAAGAGCACACCTCAGCGGGGAAAAAGCAAAACGTTGAGCAATTGAGATTGGAGGATGCTTCAGGCTTGAGGCAACATGTTGATTTGACTGCTTGGGTTTCGAAAGAAATCATGTCTGATCAGCTTCTCTGCCATCTGCCTACCGTGAATGAGTTCAAGCCAATGTCCGAACTGTCACCTTTTTAAGACAATGAGTCACAAAGGTCAAAGAAAAGAACAAAAAGGCAAACATCAGTCATAACTTCAGTCATGTCAGGTCCCTCTGGTGATCCAAATATGCAAGCGCAGTCGCAAAAAAAATGTTGCTCATGCTCCTCAACATCTCTTAGCCCCCAATTGCCACGCTTTTGTCCTTTTGAGCTTCGAAGAGAAGAAAAAAACCAAAGCACTTCCGCCAGGAGGCCCCAAGCCGGCCACCACACCTTGCACCTCCGGCAGCGCCCTCATCGTCGCTGAAGCTCGGCTTGGCTGCTTTTTTCGATGGAATTGAGCTTTCGAAAGCTGCGGGAAGGTGCCGAGACGGTCGCCGTGGAGCTTGGGACGGTCGCAGCGGGCCAATCGACGGAATCTGCTAATCGGGTGAAGGTTCTGAAGCCCATGGAAAGAGGCTCCGAAGAGGTCCGAAGCTCGGATTTGCAGGGTCAAGAACCTCCAAAGAGCTACAGTAAGTTCAGCATGATGATAGTTATAGTTTGGGTCAAACACATGTGTTTACGCTCACTGCAAGAATCATGGAAGTGGACCATGGCCCCCGAAAACAAGCTTCCTCTACATACAGGGGGGTTGTCCACTTCCGTGTTTGGGAGGCGCACCATCCTTTTTTGGGGGCGGACTCACTGCCAAAGAGAGCACCCCTTCCACGGGTCACTAGGGCCTCTGTCCGCATGGTGATGACTCTGAAGATCCTCTCTTCAACAGCTTCGCTTTGATGGACTCTGACTTCAAAGGCAACCTCTTCCCAGCACCAGTGGGAGTTCAGGTGGTTTGTAACCGAGATCGCCCGAACTGTTCCAAGAGAGGTTGCATAGCCCTATAGCCCATCCCATATGTACCAGCACAGGGTCCTAGTTCAGGTCTCTCCGAACTCCGTGATGGTCGTGGAATTGAAGGTCCTCTCCTCATATAGGCGCTTCAGCATGGGGCTGCACTCCACCAGCTCAGCTGACCAGTCTTGCTGCAGCGGATGCAGCTGCGGCGGGGCAGGTAGCGCATGGATGTAAGGCGCGAAGAGGGACTGGTGCGATGAGGAAGGCCAACGAGTCGATCTCCGGACTGTATTGACTCCCTCAGTTGTCCTTGATGAACCAATTCCCCAAAAAGGGTTAAAGGCTTATCCCCTCATTGCGTAGGTGTACTGCGCATGCTTTTGGGGGGGGCACTGCGAGTGCTTCACTGGAGAGCTTGGGATCCAAAGGCTGGGTGAAGGTGGACTGGTGGGTGAAGTGTTACCATTCTCCGCACATGAACGGATGTCAACCCAACTACTGATTGTAGTGAGGGGGAACGGGTAAGAACGCAGTAAGTAACCGGCAAAGAGGAAGAACGCCTACGCCAAAATTTACCATAGAACTTATTATAACGACGGCCCGGAACTTAGAAGGTAGCATTTTCGGCACTTCAAAACAGTAGATAAATTTAGAAGGGGGGGGTCCCCCTGCGCACCTTCTAAGTTTACGGGCTGTTTTGAATTACCATGCATATACCGCTATATGGCACCTTCAACCTAGAAGAGATGGCCTTCAATCTACTAGCCATGGCCTTCAACCTAGAAGCAATGGCCTCCAATCTACTAGCGGTGGCCTCCAACCTAGAAGAGATGGCCTCCAACCTAGAAGGAAAGGCCTCCAACCTAGAAGAGATGGCCTGCAATCTACTAGCGATGGCCTCCAACCTAAAAGGAATGGCCTAAAGGAAGGCCGCGCCGCCGCCTCTTTTTCCCCTGTCTGTCCCTGTCTGTCTTTCGATGGGTTTTCTTCATGCAATCGAATTCCAGAGAAGAAAAGACATCAAATCTATCGTGCAGAGTTCTGCATTTGTGCAGTGACTGTACTTATGGGAATGCCATGGAGTCTTCCAAGTGGTTTGTCAAAACCTGCAGTGACAAAGGTTTAATAGGCATTCTAAGTTCTGAAGTTTCCCAACAGATATTGTATGTATTGTGTGCATGCCCTGAAAATATAAAGATCGTGTTTTGACAAACGTCTTGGACTTGCAAACTCAGAAACAAGCAGATGGACGGTAGCCCACAAGCGTCCTTCATCATCTGCTGTGTATTGTCCCCGCTCCATCAAGAGCACGCTACACATGAAGTAAGCCTTCTCCATCTGCGCCAAGATATGAATGTGTGTGATTGTGTGTATATATATATATGTTAGAACCTTTTGTCAAACACATTCTAAGTTAGAGAATGGATGAGGCAGAAACATCGAAACAAATAGATGTTTAAAATGAAATTCGATCGTCTTTCCCAACTCAGCTCGAAGATGAATCCTGCGGAGAGCTCAATGCAGCAGTCACGCGGCTCAGCTGCATCTGCCACATCTGCTGCTTTGGGAACTCCTCTGTGTAGCAGCGGAGAACAGCATCCATCATCAGCAAAATGGCTTCTCGCTCCGTTCCTGAGCCGGGCTGTGAATAGATATAATATAAGGACGGCGCGAAACTTAGAAGGTGTGAAAATTGGCGCTTCAAAACAACAGATAAACTTAAATAATGTAAATGTGTATGTATATATATTAATATATATATGTGTGTGTATGTATGTAAGTATGTATATCTACATGTGTATCTATATTATATGTGTATATATATATATATGTTAGAACCTTTTGTCAAACACATTCTAAGTTAGAGAATGGATGAGGCAGAAACATCGAAACAAATAGATGTTTAAAATGAACTTCGATCGTCTTTCCCAACTCAGCTCGAAGATGAATCCTGCGGAGAGCTCAATGCAGCAGTCACGCGGCTCAGCTGCATCTGCCACATCTGCTGCTTTGGGAACTCCTCTGTGTAGCAGCGGAGAACAGCATCCATCATCAGCAAAATGGCTTCTCGCTCCGTTCCTGAGCCGGGCTGTGAATAGATATATTATAAGGACGGCGCGAAACTTAGAAGGTGTGAAAATTGGCGCTTCAAAACAACAGATAAACTTAATATATATATATATATATTTGTTTGTGTGTGTATATGTATGCATATATATCTACATGTGTATCTATATTATATGTGCTTGATCGCTGTTAGCTTGTGATTGTATATGCCACCCTGCCGTATGCTCTCCCAAACAACTTAGAATGCCCTTCCCAACAAGGATGAGGCTCGGCCCGTAGTGCCTTCAAATGAAAAAGACATCTGAAGCGTAGAGCCAGGGTAAAAACCCTGCCAAGACCTCGTGGTCTTGTGGAAGGATATGAAAACGCCATCTTTGTGAGAAGGAACCATCGTAAGCCCCTCCTTTTCGAGAACAACAAACGCTGGGCGGTGGCTAAACGATTTCACTTTCGTTGCGCCAGTTGGCACAATCTCCTGGATCGCCTCCTCATCAGAGGAATTGGCCCAAATCTGCAGCTCGTCCCCTGAATTCTCAGCGTCTCCCGTCATCAAGATGTGCTCTTCCTGCTGCTGGTCGAAGTTCACCTCCTGATCTGCCTCCTCCACACCTGCCTCAGCATCAATGGCCGGAGCAGCCAACTCTTCAGCGATGTTGTTTGCCACACCATTCAAGCAACCCGGAACATCACAATCCACTCCTTCTCCCCTCAACAGGACAAGGTCACGCTCTTCTCCGTTTGCGCATTTCACCTTCACTTGAGCCAAATCATCCTGCACGGCAATCTCCAATGAAAACATGCGATCCTTCAGCTTGTCAATGTCGGCATTGGACCGCAACTTTGAAATCACAGTGTGGTCAATTTTGTCGTACAGAATGTGCTTTCTTCTGGCAAGTGTCATCCAAGAGGTAAACTTCTCCTGCTGTTGCTGCGTGAGCTCCTTCCCTTGCAAAGCACGGCTGTGCCTAGTTTTCTCCCACTTCCTGGCTTCATTGGAGAAGTAGCTGATATACTGTTCAATGGGGCTCGCAACCCATTCAGGCAGCACCTGTCTTGTGGCAGCGTCCCCATCAACTTCCAATGCCCAAAGCAACCCCGTCTCTCCTTCAAGCGGCTCCTCCCTCATTGTTCTAGCCTTCTCAACAACAGCCACAGAACTGCTTGTAGCTGGTACGGCCGTCAGTCTGAGGAGACTTCCCATGCTTCCTCTCTTGCGCTCGCTCGCTGCAATCACCACTTTCTTGACGTTTCCTGGACTGTGGGAGATGGAAATGCAGCAAAAAATAACAAAGGCATTCTAAGTTCAAAACATCTTTAATAGGCAAACAACGTTTTGCTTGGAGTTTCAACTGACAGCACCGTCCCCACCTCCAAACTTTCTGGCGGCCACAATCTCCTTGCTCACCATCCCGCGGGTCAACCAAGCTGTCCATACAAGGCGTCCGTCCCTGAACGGATTTGGAGGTAAATAGGAGTGCACTAGCGTTAACATCATAAACATACTCTCAGCACAGTCATTCTAAGTTAGGCAGGACAGGGTAGTATTGAACAAAATAAAACTCACAAAACACACACACAGATATATATATATATAACAAAATAAGTCTGTTTTAGAAAAACGGCGCATATGCAACTGCCAAGGTAAAAGTAGGCAATTGACACTTGAATGCCAGATTGAGTTGAGAAGCTCAAAGGAATTCAAAGCTCTCAGCGCATATGCGTCTGCACGGATCGAGTCAGACATGCTGTACCTGCAAGGGCGCCAAGACCAACAAACTGCTTCAGAATCTCAAAAACGTCAAGAAAACATTTCAAATCATGTAGGTGTGAAAGGTATCTCATCAACACCCAATGCAACCAGAGCACCGAACCGAAGCACTCCCTTGAACAGATTGGTGTACATCTGCAAGGCTGGCACGAAGGTCAAAGTCAGAGGTCCAGCAAACTTTGGTCAAGCTGTAAGCACGGGTGAGGCAATGGATATACTGATGGAAGCCATCATTTGGGGCGCCACATGCACCCCAGCCCCCCCGGGATTCGTAGTGATACGGAATCCCCGGTGACCAGTTCCTCAATATCTCGAGGACATTCTATGTTAATGTGTAAAACTTGGAAGGCGCCCAAAAATAGACACCAAACAAAGGCCCAACAACCCTTCTTTATTGAAAAAATGACAAGACCTGGCAATCAAGATGCAACGTTGTGAGTCTTGCACCACTCGGTCTTCATGCTTGAGAAGGCCTTCATTGAGTGCTGCGATGCGCAATCAGCAAGAACCAGGCAGCGGTCCTTCAGCGTCAGATTGAGAAGACGCCGTCGCTGGCGTATCTCGCCAGCCAAAAACTCCAGAAACTCGCACATCGTGGCACAAGACCAAAAATGCGTGCCCTGCTTCAAACGTCCAATATAGACCCAATCCTCCAGTTCCTGCATCCAGAAAGACAGGCTGATATTTTTTGTGATCAAGGGTGACGTTCATTTATGTAAGTTCTAAAGTGGTGGGCATTCTAAGTTGGCTTCGTTACACAACATCACAGGGTTGAGCCTGCCAATGCGTCATACACACGTCACACGCTATGATAGCCCTGCCTTGTTCAAAGACTCTCTTTGCATCGGTGATAGGTATTCCTCTGCACATGTCACGAACCCCCTGGCGAGGGTCCCGTCGTTCCATGAAACCGTCGTGAGAGTGTGTGGAACACGCCAGCTGTCAATGGCTACGGATGAGCTGCATCCGCCCTGGCGTCTACTGGTTTTCGTGAAACTCAAAGCATCGGAATCACCACCAGTCGATACATTGATCATTCTGAGAAAATCTGTTTCCATCACCTGTTTGGCGCTCTTGGAGTCTTGGCTGTGACGTCTTTCCTGCAATGTCCTGGTCCGTGGCCTGAACGTGGTGCACCAGACCTGGTCAAAGTTGAGGACCAAGTCCTTTGCGATTGCACCAGTCTCAATCATCCAAGCAACTCCATCGCGAACACGGGCCATGGCCATGTGATCGTATGGCAAATGTTTGCCTGGCTTCGTGTTGGCTGTCAACGCGATAGAGCTTCTGTTGCAAAGGCGTCTTACCTGGTGCCTGGCCAGGTTTTCCATGCAAACTTATAATGCCATTTCCGAAAGGTATCATACTCTTAGAATGCCACTGTCCAAACTTAGAATGGCCACTAAGAACAGA